TCTTGAAAGATGGGTTGATTTGTTTCATACGATTCCTAAAATATATGAATTACAAGATTTCTAGATTTTTTCTTTAAAGTTTGAGTTTATAAACAAAAAAATACCATAAAAACATGAACTCGTCTTGTGATTGATTTGTCAGTGCATTTTATACTAGAACCTTTAGGGTTTAGAAGAATATCACAGATTGACATTATGTACGCACAATGCATCAGAGGAATAGTTTTGCCACAGAATTGTTTAAAAGCTAAAAGGCAAATTGAGGTTATCAACTCATCATTTTCAAAAAGTGAGTTGTAGACAGCACGGGTTTCTTCTGAGGCCTTCTACACAGAAAGCCTCGTGGTAGATATATTTATTCTCTCAATATTTAAGACGGTGAAGGCGGCATTCCTAATAGTGGAAGCTATATCATTTCTTTTACTACGGCATCTATTTTTAAGCTAATGAAAAATGAACCAAATTTTTGAAAACTTTCTTTTTATTGATAAAACAATATCCACATATTGTGGTTTCAAAATTAGCAAATAAGTAGGATTTTTTAAATACGGTTTAATAGCAACAAAATGCTATTCGACGAAAATTATTATCGTTATACAATTTTTTTCTGATTTAAAATAGAACTAGCAATAACACAACCACATAACCAAATCTGACCGAAATTTTTTTATTAAATAAAAAATTTTAAACAGATTTGGTTGTGGTTATCGTGATATCACCAGTACTATTTTTGCTATTACTAAAATCCACTGGCTCTGACGTAGAGTTAAATTCGGAAAATAAGATTTAATTTTGAAGCCTCCATTTTTGGTATTTCTATATTCTTATGGTCAGTGCATGATTCAAGGGGTGAAATACCAAAATTGGCTAAAAATGAAATATCATACGTAATATGCAAATAAAATAAAAAATATACTTCAGATAAAAGCTTCTCATTGAAATATGAGATCCATGCACTCCTCCCAATAGTATCAATAAAATGATCTGCGTGTTCGGCCAAAAAATTTTCTAATGCAACTCTATATTCCTTAGAGGAAGGGTATAGATTTACTGGAATTAGTTCCTTTGCGACTTCCTTGTATGCCGTTCTCCAAAAACCGTCAGAAAGGTCATCAAATACAATCAGTTTTTGTATTTGCTTTGACATTTCTTTTTGTTGATTTAATATAAAACGACATAGTTGATACAATGAATTAATCTTTTGATCCAGAACATTTATGCTGTAATTGAAATCATCAGTTGTTAAATTTTTTTTCCGCAGGCAAATAATGAGCAAACTCATGTTCGTCCAAGCTCATGGATAAAGGATCACGTGAGGTTCCAGATTCTTGGGATAATTGGGATGTGTGTGGCATTTCCTCATCATCGAATGGTTCCTCTTCCTCGTAGGCAGATTAGAGAGATTTCTGTCTTTTTGCGGACGGTTTAGAGCCTTTGATGTTTGATGTCGTTTTGTTTGACTCTAATTTAAAAAAAATTTAAAAACGAATTTTTGGTTTAAAAAAAAAGAAAAAATAAATAATAATTAAATAAATAAAAAAAAGTTACTATTACTGCTGCTAAGCAACATCATCCCGAAAACAAATTTCGTTTGATTAATAGCTTGTTCCTCTACCTGATCTGCCTTGATAGAGGCAGAGTTATTGTTTCCTTTTTTTTTTGAGGAAACTTTATTATTTTTTCTACCACTCATGTTGAAAATTTACGAGAAAATAAAACTTATTATATTAAAGATAAAAGCAAAAGCCTTGGATAAAAATTTTAT